GTTGTATATTCATATTAAGCGAGCGTAATTTCCGCGCAGCGCAACGCGCTCGAGAGAGCGCCTTTACGGTCGTCCTTCTTGCCGGGAGCCGCCACGATGGTGTCGTTGCCGGTAAATAAGGAGACGGACGTGCCTCTTCCAATCTACGTTAATTATTATCAATTGGATCATTAACCTCGCCATCGGCGAGACAACACGAGGGCAACGGACGAGAATTCGTTCGTTGATATTTGCACGTCACTAATTGACATGTACCGATTTTAACGCGACATGTCTTAAATTTCGTCGAAAATCAAATAAAAAGGTACTCAAGTAAATAATCGCCTCAATACTCGTTAGCAAATGTTTATTACTTGGATCAAGTAAAGTCTCCTTGATTGGAATAATTATTTACTTGAATCTAACATATTTTTTCCATGTGAATATGACAGACAAAAAACATGAAAAATGTAGATGAAAATACAACGGTACCGAGAGAGAGAGAGAGAGAGAGAAATTATAGATATCGCGCGAAAAACGTCTAAAAGAAGATGTTTTTTATACGCGACCGCATTTACGAGAATTGTCGTCGAACGTGTCTGCTCGAGCGAGTAGAAATTGAATTCCGCGAAATTTCTGTTTCTCCGCTCTCATATGAGAAAAATGAGACCCGAGACGATGAAATCGAAACCATTCCCGGCGATCCGGTATCCCCGTCCACTTTCCCGATGAACGATCCACGACGATGGTCATCATCCACTTTCTTGACGCACGTCCGACCCCTTTTTTCTCCTGTTCGCGTAGCTATAGCGTGCTCCACTTTCCACTTTGTCTGTCTACTTTTTTCGCCGCGAACGGGAAATGCGGAAAAAAAACGGGATCGCGGCGAAGGGTAGACCTCATGCGAATTGCACCAACCTGCACTGGCTCCGCTCCATCTTTCTCGAAATCGAAAATGGATTGTGCTATCCGTTCTTATTACGATGAACATTATCATCAAATAAGAAACGTGTATAATGTTATGATAAAAGATAATCAATCTCTTCACGTCAACGACGCAATAATCAGTTTCAATGGTATTTCGATGCCATAATAATCAATTTTTCAAAACATCGAGTAAAAATAACAAGAGTCACGGAGTTACATAAATTTGCTCGTACAAGCTCCAATCGTGACAAATTGAAGAAAGATCGAGCCGAGTCAATAATCTGACATTCGTTCAATTAAATATTGAGCTTGTTTTACGAAAGAATATTTTCCAGAAAAAAATTCAAAGCAGTTAGTTCGCTGTATACAAATTGTTTAACTCAATTTGACAGATTCTTTTTATAATGCACCATAATTTATTCAAAATATTTCAAGTCTCTCGCAAAATGTCCGTTTTGGCAATTCCAAAACTTTCGGTGTACACGTTCAATCACCGTCGACACTAACGCGAAACATTTTGATGTTAATTAATTAATCGAGATTTCACAGTCTCTTCAACTATCCGTTCTGATTAAGATCTAAGGTCGAGGCTGCGAGATAGAATCAGAAGAAATTCGACCAATAACGAACGGTCTAAACTTTTCGCCAATTCATCATGCTCTGAAAAAAACAAACAATTCGACCGGGCGTAGGAGAGAGGGACGAACAAATCGGTGGGTCAAGGTTCGCCGGGACAATCAGTGGTTGGAACGTTTCCAAAACACGCGACCGGCTCTCACCGCAATCCGCCGATGCCGCCGCAAGAAGAGCGACCGGGGCGAAACGCGTAAAACCGCCGGTTTCAGGTGCAGCTTTCACATTCTCGCCCCCCCCCCCCCCCNTCCACCTTCAATCGACCCGACGCACCGTGCGATGCGACGCGAATTTTTCGTGCCTTGATGATTTTGCAATCTCTCACACTCGGTTTTCGTTATCGTTTCTCTACAAGACTTCGATCGATTTTTTTCAACAACGCTCTCATCGATGGTGCTAATCGAAGAAATTGTTATTAAGGGAATGTCGAAAAGGAAATATTGATTCTTCTGCAATACTTATGTTTTATTCGTAGAATTCATCGCATTTATATCGCACTCACGTAAGACCTATACACTGTCTTTTTGTTATCGACGCTTATCAAGTATATATCATCGACTTTGACCGATCTCAATTGGCTGAGCGGAAACTTCCTACATAAATCTCCTCTGTTCCTACAACCGAATTTTCGTCTGGTCTCGAGGAGAGAAATTCAATCAACGAAATTAGTTTTTCCGTGTATACACAAGACCGTCTTTTTCGTCGACGGAGCTCGTCGTTCATCCGTTTAACATCCCCTTGAGTAAGCTCACGTCATTGAGCCACACTGAAACGCAATTGCATAATTAATCTCCAGCTGGACAATTTCCGGAAATTACGATTCCCAGGCGAATTAATTACCGTCGCGGTAAATAAGTTAATCGCCGCGCTGACAAAAATACAAACCCGACGGCGGGCGTGGCGTTGGTTGGTCGGTCCGCGCGAAGATTCTGCGCCCGCGGTGCATCGCGGAGAGAAGAGAGGTTGCATCACCACGACGACTACCGTAGAACGCGCTACGACGTGGCGCAAAAACGTAATTTACGACGATGGGACCGAGCGAGATGAAAAGACGTCGAGAAACTTTCTCTCTCTCTCTCTTCAAAATTCTGAACTCGCCGCTCAAAATAACAAGGATGCCGACACGATGAAGAAAAGCTGCTCACTCGGTCTCTCTTTCGGACGAACGGCTGACGAAACGAAACTTCGAACCGTGCTTGTTAAGATTCTCCTCGAGGGAAGATCATTATCGAATTTCTTAAGTCTCGAGAATTGTTTCTAAACGTTGGAAGAGAGACAATATTCTACCGAAAGTATGCCGTTATTTTTCTCGGAATGTGTATTAAATCGTACAAACTCTTATCGCGCGCAATATTATTATCTCCGAATGTATATACAAGATCACAATCTGAAATGACAAAATGAAAAAGAGGAATTCCCTGAATCATCATCGCGTCGCAAAGCAGGGGAACGCTGGTGAAGAGAGCAAAAGCGTCGTCGTCCACCGAGCACGAAAAAGGGACAGTCTCGCCTTCCAGATGCGCGATTGCTTCTAATTGCCCGCGGTGGCCCCCCCCCCCCCCCCCCAAGTGAAANCGAATAAAAAGAGCAGGTTGGTACACGGCTCGTTCAGTCCCTCTTAGCGAGAACGAGCGTCGTATCGAGAAACCCTTTACGACGCTAAAATTCGGCGCTAGACGCGATCGGAGATAAACCTTCTCCTCCGAGCAGTTGATATTTGTCCGTCGATTGTACTTTGAGTCATCAATTATTAACATCGCGGCCAAGTTTGTTCTGATTCATCGGCGAGGATTATTTTTAACGATGTTTGTGATTATATTATTGCTGATAATAACTATTACAGCTATGTTGACTAGCTATTACAGTTGTCAATAACCATTACTTTCTCAATCTTACTTTCGAGTGAAATTCCACTCGAAAAGTAAAGTGAGTTACTCGAAAGTAACCCTGAAGCGGCTTGGTTCATTCGAGATTGAAGAGAGTGAATCTAACGCGCGAACAAATTCACTAATATGGATTCATTCCGAGTTAAACACTCGCTCTTGTATTTTCACCGCCGATTAAATTTTCACTCGCTTCGTGTGAGAGATTTCTCTCCGAGAAATTTCAAAGAGTAATATACTCTCGCGTCTCTCCGACAGATTCGATCTGCCGATTAACAACCCCCCGAGATGCCCCACAAAAGTCGGAGATAGTGTCTTAATCACGATCCTCGCCCCGAAAGGAAGTTCGCCAGTCACGCGGAGAAAGAGCATCCCCCATCAGAGGGATTTTTTCTCGAAATTATCATCTCTGCGCCGGCGGTGTAACAGACCGATCGAAGCAACCGATAACCGTTTAATGCGCTCATTAAAATAAAATGTAAATCGTCCGCCGCTTGAAACGTCACTCCGGCAATGAAAATAAACGCGTAGGAGATCATAAGTCGACACAATTAATATCCGGCGATCGCAATAACCTCTCGGATTCGCCGCGAGAAAGAGTTTTTGCCTTCACGGTAACTTTGTTATTGATGACCGCGATGTTGAGTGCGCAGAATAAAGAAGGTAGGCGTTTCCACCCTCGAATCCCGCGCAACGATCTCCGCAGCTCGCGCGAACGTTTTTCACTTTACGAGGCGCGCACAGATGGTAGAGAGAGAGAGAGAGAAAGAGAGAGTACAGCCGTAGCGTACGTCTTGTAAAAGTCAATATTTATGAGGGTGCTAACCACCGTCATCGCTCATCCCGACTCGTTAACCGGCTTCGCCGGCGCGGCTTTGTGTTTACATCCGAAGGACAGGCATCCTCTTTATTGTCAGCCCTAAGAGCTTATCAGCCACCGACGCGATATCGCGCGTTTCGCTCCACGATTGTTGTTCGTCTAATGTTAAAATTCGAACTGTCAAGTAAATCGTGTTGTTAAAGGGGATGTCCATTCGGTAAAGTGCTTCATAGAAGCAACAGGTGTGTAGCAAGGTAAGTCAGTGCCGCCATCTCTCACCGGGTTGCTCAACGCGCGTTGTCTTTCGCGGACTGGTATCTAGCGCGTCGATAAAACGCGGGCTTCAGTGATGTACGACGTGAGCCACAGATTTCTCACACTCTCCGTTAATTTTCTACTTCCGCTAATTTGATTTTTCTCAAACTCGATAAAGCTTACGTTGTAATATATTACGATACATTGTTGTTAAAAAAAACTTCAGGAAAGAATTAAAATACATTTGACTCTTATCGTCCTAATTTTCATTAGTTTGAAGAGCCTTACATTCTTTACCAAAGTTTTTACACACTAAAAAAAATTTTTTTAATTTTGTCTATTTAGGATATCACTATTGCGAAAAAATGAATGAACTTTCTTAATAAATAATAAGGTATTACGTTCGTAGTTTCATGAATATCATACGTACTTTTGCAATATTCTCTAATTATATTATTAGTTTATAATGTAAGAGAGCGAACAACATCATTCGTTTAACTCACCCTCTGGCAGTGCTCCGCGCTGATCCTCGCCAGATCCGCGAGGGGTTGAAAAATGACATCGTGGAATTCGGGATAGCTCCGTGCCAACGGACGCGCATATAATTCTTTGGCACTGCATAACGTCTCGTGATACTCCTCTTCCGCATGCAATAGCTTCTCCGTAGCCCGATACCTGCGGTCAGTGTCTGCAAAACAAATCCGACAACAGTAGATAAAAATGTTTTCGTCGAGCGCGAAGTTAAAGAGAAGTTACGCGATCGACTAATTACAAGCTGTACTCAGGTAATTAGTGAAATAACGAATTACCTCCAATCGCGTCGTACTGCCTGGCGGAGTCCTCAATGAGCAACACCTCACCGTGCAGAAGGGCTACATCGGCGGCGGGGTCGACTTCGGCCCTCGAGCCGGCGAGCAGCAATCGCGGCCTGCACACACGAAACTTGAGCAGCACCGGAGCGACCACGGAAGAGATAGCGCCGGGCGACGAAGCTGACAACTGCAACAGACGAGGAAAGGTTACGACCTCACCGCGGCTAATCCCGAAAAACAGCCGGAGTAATTAAGTGTTTGCCAATACGGGGAGATCGTCGATGAGTATGAGAATGTATAATACGGTAACGTAGAAATAAGTGGAAAGTTGAGTCGGTTTGTAAATCCGTCATTTAACGCACTAAGGGCGGACAGTTAAACCGCGAAGGAATTCTCTCGAGTTTTTGGATGTGAATCTTTTCGAAACGTTATTACTTCATTGAACGTCTTTACGATCGCCGACGCTTCAATTAGTGTTCCATTTACGGAACGCTCCTTTGTAGAGAAAAATTTGATTTTATCCAATCACTCGATTAACACACTTATTCCTTCCAATCTTCCTTCAATTATCTTCAATTCAGATAGTTTTGATACCAACTCAAATCCCTAAATTAATAATTTTTGAAAAATTGTTTGTTAAATTTAATATTCTTTACAAGCGGCCCGTACAAATGTTTGCATCGATTTAACACAAGATGAATATCTTTTGTACTCGTCACGAGATAACACATCGATCGTAACGCGCGAATCTACGAATATGCGATCCGTAATTAAAGGGTAAATAAGCCCTCACTGCCGGTCGCGCGGTGATTAACGCTCGCGCAATTTAATCATAACGATATGGAGAGTGTGTTTTTAATCACAGAAACCGGGGGGGTTACCACTCGTTCGCGAATAATCGCTCGTGCCGACTTAAGGTACGATCGCCTGAATCCCACAGACGTACCGTTAATCAGACTGCGCCCCCCCCCCCCCCTTTTAATANGCCCGCGCGGGAGTTTTTCGCATACGAATGCAGTGTATGTACATTCTTTCCGCGTCGTGGTTACTACTCGCGAAACGGGTCGCCGTTAAGAGCGCCGTATTAATCAGGGTCGGTCGTTGTGTAACGGAATATGTGGTGTCATTTTCTAATTCACGGATGGCGGCGCGTGCCCGTCGCATTTCGGGTAGTCGTTGCCTACCCAAGTACCCTTTCGAGCATCACTCGCGACTATTTCTCAAATTATTCAATAGATTTGCTTATTAATGTAATTTCTTCTTACACAGTAAGAAATTTCACGATTCATTTTCGTGTTGATTTAACGCAAAGTGAATATGTTGAAAAGTACAACACAAGAAAAATTGATTCTATTAAAATTCTTTTTTTAACCCTTTGCACTCGAGAACTCCGGAGCCATTAAAAATTTGTCTCCAAACTCAAATGCAAATAGCAAGAGCGGAATATCCTATACACAATAGTTTTTACGATTTGTCTTTGTCCTTATGTTATGAATTGAAAGTTCTTTGCATTGTCTCCATAGCGGAGCCCTCGAGTGTGAAGACAAATTTTAAATGGCTCCGGAGTGCAAAGGGTTAATTTCGTCTATCTTATACAGTCGACGAGGCAATCGATGAGTTGCGACGAATCGCGTCGTCGTTGAAACGTCGAAGTTGATGACGAGTTTGAGAACATTCCGTGTAATAATAAGCCAGCCAGTCACTAATGATTGCCGCACTGATATAACGAAAGTGTCGGTCATCCGTGACCCCGGATGGCATTGAACTTGTTAATGCGCCGTACACGATGATGAATCATCGATTCCGATCATCGGCCGTTGCCGTGCGATTTCGCACAGCTCGAACTGTATATTTTCTTACGCGATCGAATGTATTTATCTGCTTACTTCGCGTTACGTAAGATTTATAATTGCACTCGACGTCTCAACGGGGTAGAGACTTCGCTTCGAGAGCTCTTGTCTCGCGTGTGAAAGTTTGCCGTTTTATTTGGGCAAAGGTGAGATTCGCGCTAGAAAAAAATGATCGGTCGAAACACCTCGAGTTGAACGAACTCAGTTTCAGGATTGTACGTGTCGAACAATCTGACTGTTTTCACATAATCCCGACAGCTAGTCCTTTCTACCTGATTGATTCTTCAATGTATTAGCTGTATAAATTAATTCTTCATTTTTACCCCTTTCTAATAAGCATCTTAAAATCTAAATATTGGAGCCATATATTTACAAAATACCGCATATAACATCGCAGAATGATCAATATAATCTCAGAAAAGAGTGGTGAACAATATCGATAAAGCGCATTCTTTTCCAAAAATATTGCTGAAGAAATGATTCGTTCGGCGAAGTGAGATTTTGTAAAGAATAGTAGACCTGCTCCACGACAATGCTCGATCTCAAAAGGAACAAAAAATGCTTTAATACTGCCTGGGAAGTTGTTTATTCTCCAGACCATGCTTCTTCACCTGTTTGCTATTTAACGCATTTTTCAATGACCTGATAATCTACACCTTCCAAATCAATCTTTCGGCACCGAATTAATTTATACACCGAAAACATTTAAGTACGTTGAATTACAATGGGAGCAGCGATCCAAATGGCCTTTACTCGCTCTCCGTTCGCGCGAACGTGAATGATCGCGAGGCGATATTATCAGATTCGCGAGAGTAATCCTCTCGAGGAGGAGTAATACCGCGGGATGCACCGATGCTGTATTTATGCGAGAACACGTTATCCCTACCCTCACACATTGCGCGTGTGCAGATATTCGCGATCGGAGAGAGACAGCGCGCACGCCCACTCTCACTTTTAATAAAGCCAAACCGGAATCGTAAAACTGAATCTAAATTGCATAATTATACCGGTCTCCCTCGCTCACTCTTTCTATACAGTAACCTTCCTTTTTTCCCGCCTTTTCAAACGTTGCCGTAATCGGCCAAAAATAAATCAAGACGGATCCAACGTTAGATTAAGAAAGGCACACTTTTCGTCTGAAAATTGTAAAATAAGTCCAGGAGAATCGAACGTTTTCAACGGGCTTGGCTAAATTGTCCGTCTCGAAGGCGCGCGTAGCGCCGTTTAAAGGTCAGTAGTTGCTGCAAAATGGAATAAAAGCACAATGACCGATCGTCATGCTAACGCGGCGGACTTTCACCGGTTTTTAAAATTGAATGAAATGGCAACGACGGACTACCGGTATCTCTCCTTTAATAAAAAGGTTCGGCCAGTGTGTAACCGGGGAGAAAGGTAACTAACGATCGAGACACGTCGAACGACGCGACGCGGCTCATTTGGCCCTCCGGTCGGCCGGAAATGACTCGCTGATTACCTCCCAGAATCTACTTTCTTTTCGCCGGGCATACGCTTCCCCTCCCCATTATTCGGCCCAATGATTTTCGCCCGCGCGACGAAACGGCGATATCCTCGCGAAAATCGAGAAAGTTTGCGAATCTTTCTATTCGGGAAAGCCGACGTAATGTGTCAAATTTATATTTCCGCGAAGTCGTGGACACGTTTAACGGATGAGAGAATATTACATGAAGCCATAAAGAGAACTTTTTTTGCGCAATTAACATAGATTACTTCAAGAATTACGTCAAGAGTGGAAATAATTTAATTGTATATATTCGTTTCCGCAATAAATATTTAACGAGCAAAACATTTTATAAGGCGAATGTCCTGTTTTATATAATAAATTTCTACAACAAGTTAAACTTATATTTTTTTATTTTAACTAAGAAATAAAACATCTCATTTACACTTAAAAAATTGCTTAATTAATCATACAAATAAATATTTTCTATGAGCAAAAAAATTTTTTAATTCCTGATAACGAAATAAATTACTCTATAAAAAGTATAAAAATTCATGAAGCAAATGTTTGCGAGCAAAACTTGAAAATATGATATTGTCATTTTATATATTGGAATTTTAATTATTAAGACAAAAGGGCTAGGCACTGTGTAATTTTACCTCAATGCGCCAATAACGATCGACACATACGCGGAATTTCTGCACGGACACGTGAGCCAATCTCTCGAGCGCGCGTGTTCGTTTCTCTTTTTTCTGTTGCCTTGCTCGTGCATGACAGATGATGGATTTCCATCGGCTGTGTTAAACAGGCGGACAGACAGGTAGAGATGCGTGCGGTGCCTCGCGCGCTCGAAACGTGCATGCACAGGCATCCTGTCCCTCCCAGCCTCATTACGAGACAATGAGCGTCGTTACATCGATCACAGGCCACAGGGCGTTCTACCGAGGCGGAAGAGAGCGGACTATTTCGCGTGGATGAGCAGTAGTGGATTTAGAGCTCCCACCGTTTACACGGGTTCTACCACAGCGCATCGAGTGTCCTTTCTAATCGGGAAAGTATTTCTCACGCTGTACTATTGAAAAATCGGCATTTCACTTTACCGATAGCGATGACTATCAGAGAGAGAGAGAGAGAGAGGTAATGTAATCGCAACGATTGTCGAGAAACATGAATTTAAAAGGTCTTCAACTTTAAGGAACGAGGCCTCTCTCTGATAAATCCCCTTTAGACCTTCTCACAGGTAAATAAGTTATTCCTACGTTAGTCTATTTCGTTCCTCTATAGCAAATTTACCTATCTTCAAATATTGTTTCATCTATGATAAAAGTAGACTTAGACCTTGTTACCGAAATATAGTTTTGTTTTTCAAAAAATGATTTCACTTGACCATCACCCCTCTGGTGGTCAGTGGAAAATAACCTTGCACACACACGTGAGAACACACACGTTTTTAATTAATTAAAAATAGTAACAAATAAAAAATTGAAAAAAACAACGATGAAATATTGTTGCCAAATCGTCGAAAACAACGATTCCCGTTATGATATGATTCATCAGATATACGCCGGGTGTCACTCAAAGGAGATGTTCCGACTATTTTTCGGGAAAAACGGTTGGTCGAAAAATTCTGATTTTAGATTTTTCAAATTCCTTTGAAATTCCCAATCGCTCTAAAACTAAGTACTTGGATCTCATGGATTTCAATATTTTTTTCAGCCCGGCCCGGAATGAGTTAAGATCATCACCTGCGATTTGAACGAAAACTTGCAATCAAGAGGAATGCAGCTATATGTCTCGTCCTGGTAAAAAAAGAAAGTGAGTAAAATAAAAGTTACAGGTTGGAACTTTTCACACATTATTGTTCAGTTATTTTGTCGT